CCAATGGGTTCTTGCACCAGCTCTGGCCAGAAAGCCTGACCTAGGAAGTCAGAGAGAGCCTGGAGCCCAGTGGTTCTCAGTCGGGGGATTCTGCCCTCCAGGGGACATTTGGCAATGTCTGGAGACATTTTTCATGGTCACAACTGGGCAGATGCTACCAGCACGTAGCAAGCGGAAGCCAGGGATGCTGTTAAACATCCTACGAGGCACAGGGCCGCCCTCTCTACACTCACGCCAAAGAATTACCCAGCCTAAAGTGTCACTGGTACCAAGGGCCAGTCCAGTGCCTTTCCATAGACCAAGAAACTGAGACCCAGAGGAGGAAAGTGATCTGCCCCACACCTTGCTACTGCTGGACAAAGCTGGAGAGGTAAAGAAAGCCGCGGTGCCCACCTCCCATGCGATGCCTTCCAAAGTCACACCAATGTTTAATTTAAAAGGATAAATAAATATACACCCTCCAAGAGTTGCAAACAAGGTCCCTGGCCTAAGCTCACCCAAGTGCTTTTAGGATGCCTCCCAGTCTTAGAAACTAGCTGTTTCCAAGACGGCTCAGAAAACAGTGCCAAAGGGGTAAGAATGAGTAGATCTGAAAGGCGGCCTCTAACTCCTGCGGGATGTGGGCGGCTGCCCAGTGACTGCACTCGCCGGCCCCGTGGTCCCTGGTCCCCGTCTACAGCCGCACGGACGGACAGCACAGGACGTGAAGAAAGCAACCGCTCTACCCCGGGCCCTCCACCTCCTGGCAGGGGAGGGACTTACCAAAAGTAAACAGTGGCCCAGAAAAAAGACTCCAAACTAGAGTGAAGCTCACTAGCAGCAGAATTTCTCTGAGGCTGAGCTCTCCAGGCCCAGGTCCATTTTCACTCATCCTTGTCTTTGGTTGACTTTCTTTTTAAGAACCCAAAAGAGATGTGGGAAGGAAAACACACTACCCACTACAGCTGGGCTGCCTGGGCTCCTGGGACTACAGCCGGGGGGTTCACTTGCCGGCCCCATTCATGGGCCCGGAGATTGAGAATCACGGAACCATCCAGGCTGCTGTCTTTCTACCCTGACTGGTCCCGTGGTTGGAATCAGGGGCTTTCCCAAGGATGGGGCGGGCACTCCTTCCTTCAGACAACAGGCTGATAAGGAAATGAGTGCACTGCTTGGTTCTTCGCCCACCTCTCTCTAAGGGGCAGGACCAAACAAGAACCCAGCGCTTACCAAGACAGTTTTCCTCTCACCAGTAATATAGGATCCCTGCTCTCATCCAACCCTGGCAAATCCTACCACCCATAAGTGCCCAGGTGTAGGGAGGAGGAGGCGTCAGACTAGAGGAGAAATCGCCGATGAGAAAAGACCCAGTGTACACACATAACAAAACCAAAAAAAAAAAAAAGCCATTTTATTGAAAATTAAATTCAAACTTCAAATTAATATTACAATCATGAGAAAAAAATGCCAAATAATTCAATTTACAGTTGCAACATACAATACAAATAGTCCCTTTGAAGTTACGAGTAAACTCATCCACAATCATGACCTGTGGCACAAAGCAGAATTTGTACAATATGTGCATGGGAAGCAAATCTTGGGCAACAGCAATTGGAAAAATAAAAATAAAAATGAAAAGCTTGTATTTACACACAATGCTACAAATATTTGTGTTCCACAGAAATCTAAGAATGGTAAAGCATATCCAAAAAAATTGGAATTTTATTCAGAATACCTAAGAAATTACTGTAAGTTATGGTTCTGGCTGATATATTTCAAAGTACTGCATGAAAAAGCAAACAGTTATTTGTAAACATGAAGTAAACAAACATCTAAAAAAAAATCCTCACAGAGAAAGTATGTTTTTAAACGTGTCATCTTTTTAAGAATAACAAATTCAAAGTTTGGAAGTGTCGTCTTTTATTGATTTTATTTACGATTGTTCTTTCGAATTCACAGACAGAATGATTGGTTTCGCTCATGCTCTGTGTTTCCATGTATTAATCTAGACTCTGAGTCAGTCCATTTCCTGGGAACGCAGGGAACTCCATAAGCCAACACACACGCACATGTCTCCTCCCCTCGGAATTTGCACTGGATGGTCCCTGACAGTGTGGATTTCTCTGCTCACTTTTAAAAGGCCCTGGTGGGGAGAACTGGTCTGCAGAGCAAACCACAGTTGATCTGCTGAGTCTCCCAGTTCCAGGCTGGATGTCATTTCAGGAAAAAAAAAAACAAAAAACCCAAAGCTGTGGTACCGGTTCCAGAACTCTGACAGAAGCTAAAGCCAGGTGGGAAAAGTGGCTGTACTGGTCATGCTGTAAACTCCAGCAACATTTGTGCTACACCAAGAACCATGCCATTTGAACCTGAAGGAAGTGGAGTGTTGGCTAGTTCCAGAGTAGCAGTAAGGCTTTGCTTTGGTCTTGAAATCAAAAATCATACATTGTAACCCAGTGCAAATTAAAGGTTCGGTTAAAAAAAAAGAAGATAAAAGAAAAAAATTAACCCCCAGGCTGAAAAAGGGCAGAATTTGATCTAAGAAATGTAAATTACCCCATTGGAGTGGTTGGAGTGAGGGCAGAAGGGAGAAGTGCTTGAATTTTTCCCAAGGAAAAAAAAAACTTTTAAAGTGTTTCTGGGTTGCTGCCTGCAGCCACTACAATAACATTTCAACACGAAAGCATCCCTTAAGTCACTTCGTATGTGTCCTGTAAACTTAAAAAAGCCCTTTTAACATTAAAAATAAAGTACAGATATAGTACCTTTTTTTTTATTAAATAGGGTACAGCTGGCACTGGTGGTAACATTTTTATGTCAATTAATTAAGATTGAAATGTGTAACCAGACACTGGCTTTTTTAAGTGCTGCTGAAACAAACACACATATTTTACACTTACAAACAAATGGGCAGTGGCGTGCTTCAAGCTACCACACACAAACAATAAATAGTATCAATTACTACTTCCATCTTAATAAAAAAGTGGCTTATTTATCGAAGCATACTTGGTATACAACCTTTAGAAGGCAAAGTGTTTTGGTTTGCTTTGGTTTTCCCCTCGATTTTTATTAGGAGGAGTCAGGGTGCTTTCCCAGGCGAGAAGGACAGGTCCAACGTCCTGCAAAGCCGGCCGGAGATGCTTGGCGGCCTATGAAGTGGCCTGGAGGATGACCAGGGAGCCAGGGACCTCTGGGGGCTGGAAGCAAATCCCTAGAAGGTTCTGCTTAGGGTGGGACATAGAATTCAAATGCCGGGGCCCTGGCCTGCGGGGGAGGAGGGCGAGGATCTGCCCGGTGGTGTCGTGGAGTGGTCCTGGCTGGGCCTGAGGATGTGCCACGTGGCCGCCAGGAGTGGTCAAAGTGCATCCGACAGCAGGGCTTCACACACAGTAGTCGACGCCAGACTCCACCGGCCGGGCCTGCCCTTCGCCCTCCATCGTGAGAAATGCGAATGTCAGAGGCTGGACCTGGTTTCCACCGCCTGTGTGCTCTTAGATCAGCTGCCTGCTGCTGACCCCGCTCCTGGGAGGCAGTGACTTAATTCTGCTCCTTGAAATGCAAATTCAGTGGAGAGCCGCCAGTGGGGCCTAGGCAAAGGCAGATTTGGGTTCCCCTGTCTTAACTGTTTGGTAAGGCGGGTGGGGGCAGTTCTGCTTTCCTGTACTGCGTGTATCACGAGGGATCCTCGGGCCACATGTGTGGCTTTAAGCTGATCATGTCTTCACTGTGAGGCCTGGCGATTGAGAGTTTTGCTTTAACTATGAAACCACAGAACATTTTTCTGCAGTTCAGTGATTCTCTTGTGCTTGTCTGTCTTAACACGACAAGAGTCATCATTATTTCAAAGAAATTAGGAAACCACATCGCGCCAGCATTTCATGCTGATGAAGGGCAACATAAGCGATAAAGGACTGAGAGGTTTTTTTTTAATCTCGAATTATTGCTTTTTAAAAGGCAAAGCTGTGTTAGAGGCAATGAAAGATCTGAAAGAGCTAAGAACAAAACATTTCCTTCATACATCACAAAAACAAGCTACATCTAAAATATCTGGAGATGGAAGTATTTTTAAAACATCACATTGTGCCTGGATGAACTGAAATTGCTTAGCAATATTTCAGATATGGCTCTAGCCCACTGAAGAAATTTGTTATTTAATAAAGAGCACTTTTAGAGACCGAAGTCAACATCTCAATACACTAAGAAATGTTTCAAGGGTCCAAATGTCATTAAATAATTATAAATATATCTTTAAAGTTATATGACTATTCACGTTAGCAAGTTACCTCAGATTTTACACATATTCATAATTTAAAAAAAAAAAAGAAGACAAATAACACACAGCCAAACACAAACACTATCTATACCATTATGGCTATAATAAGGCATTGCCATTTTCAGTTTTGCATAAAAGAAGCAGGGGCAGAGTTGGGGTGTTGGGGTGTGGTTTTGGGATGGGATTTCTTTTTTGGTTAAATGGGAAGAGGGGGGAAAAAGTATAAAAAAGTAAAATAAAATAATCTATCCTGGTCAGTATTTTTGAAGTCACTTTCTTAAAGGAGGGGGGAAAAAATTAAAAAACCAACTGAACCAAACAGTTCAAATGAATACTTGCAGAGAGGAGGGAAGGGGAAGTTTGGAACAGCTGCTGCGGAGGGATGGCAGGGGCGTAGGAGCCCCCGTCCTGCCCCTCTTCCCTTCGCGTGCACCTCGGCTGGCTTTGGAAGCGGGTCTGCGGAGGGCACGTGTCCACGCACCGCGGCCACCGGCCGCCGTGAGCGCGGGTGGTTTCAGAGCACAGGGAGGGAGCGCTGGGCTCCTCTTCCTCCTGGACCTCGAGTCCACCGCTCTGAACTGGCGCACCAACAGGTTACTTAGGATAACAGACCGAGCGAGCGACAACGGCAGCCAAAACACCTCTCTCCTTGGTTTGTTCGTAAAAGTACATTTTAGAGAGAAAACGATCTGAAGCCTGATTAGGATTGTCTCTCTTGGGCCTTTTGCTTCTCAATATCTACCCTCTGAGGGTCGCAAGATGGTGACAGAGTGAGTGAATGCAAAAAAACAAAACAAAACAAAAAACTTCTAAAAAATAGGCACTTTGTAGATAGCTAGTTGATATACATATATAAGCACTCTCTCTATATATGTATATGTCGACACGTTTGGGACGTGGCTCCCAGAGACCGCTGGGCCACTGCTGAGGAAATTTCAATAGGGTCGCCAAACAGATTCATCCATTCTGCCACTAGAATTCAGAACGGTTGGGGAACTGCTGTGGCTTCCGTCAGCGTCAACGCCATCATTCTGGTTAGGCAAATTGGGGTTTAATAGCGTGCTGCCATTCGAGGTGGTGGTGCATGGCGGTAGCATTCTGGAAGGAGACCGGTCTCCCCCGGGCACCATGGGGAACTGATAGGATCCTGACGAGGTGCCATAGTAGAGATATGGTGTGCTGCTGGTCTGGAAGGGTCCGCTCTGGCTTTGGGAAGAGCCGGGGTAGGGTGGTGGCAGGTAGGTGTGGTAGTGGGTGGTGGCGGACATACCGAGGGACATGCCTGAGGTGACTGGCGGGGTGTAAGTAAAGGTGGCTGGATAGTGCATTCGTGGATTGGAGAAGCGGCTCTCAGTGAGGGATGAAATGCTTGGGAACTGCCTGGGGTCTGAAAAAGGGCCCAGTTCTGAAGCACCTAAAAATTACAACAGAAGATGGGGGGAAAAAATCTGTAAATATCAATTAAAATAATGATAGATTTTTTTTTCAAGAAAAAAAATAAAGAAAGAAAACTTAAGCTTCCCCAGAAAGGAACAGCAAGCCACAAACAGACTTTCAAATGCACCGGTCACTACACGGTCTTTTTGTTTTTTTCTTCACTTGACAGTCTTAGCAGCATTTATCCTCAAGTTCTTCACCCCTCAGAGAATCCCAAAGGGCTTTAAAAACCCAAATACGTGCTAGGTCATGTGTGTAAACCAACCCAACACTCGGATCAGACAGATTCACTCACCACACTTTAAGATTGAATCCTCACTGATTTTTATGTTTCTCTCTTTTTGTTTCTCGTTACACCTCAGATATTTGAAAGTGACATTTTTACTAAGTCGGATATGTTTCTTTTTCTCAATTCAATGTAAAGAAACTCCAAAATGATCAGTTTTGTTATTGGTACACTTAGCAGGGCCCCTTCATCAATGAAAGAACTTCAAAAAGAGACCCTAACATGGGCCTATCCCGTCTCTTCAACTCTCAACGTAAAATCCTGTTTTATTCTTCATATTAGTAACAGATTTGAAAACAAATCAAACCAGATTTCAAAGTATTCTGGAACTATCTTCCTTATGGAGGCATATAGGGAGAGTCTGGTCCTAAGAAATTGTCCCGAGAGTCTACATGACCTAAATCGTAGGTTTTGAAAGTGGGTGGGGAGGGGGAAGAAGGCTCAGCACCTAGGAATCACTGCGTTTCGAGTCTTAACGGGAGACGGAGGACCTGATCAAGGCCAGGTGCCGACAGCAGCTTTCGGGAAAGGCTCGCTGAGAGAGGAGATAAAAGAGGACACCTCACCACCCATCTGCCAGGCCCCTGGACCACATCCTACAGCAATAGCTTCAGGCCAATTTGAACTGAGAACCTGGAAGCAAATCCGGGTTTCCCCTAAAATGTAAAATCCTTTAACTTCTAAATGCCTCCTTCCTAGGCATTTCTGGTGCTCCACTTATGAAACCACACTTATAAACCACTTCATGTGGAACTTCGTTTCCTGAAATGCCAAAAAACTGAAGAGCTGTGATCTTTAAAGATTGGGTTATGATTTTCTAAAACTGACAGGACTGTGGCAAGCCCTTTTATAACCCCAGTGTCCTCAGGATGTTGTTCACACCTGAAATCGTCCAGTTCTGCGGCTCTCATGTGTGTGCCCCTCCTACAGCTTGCGTCTGTAAGGGGGAGCACTTAGTAACTCGTGAGGGCCTCGGTGAGCGGGTACTCCTGCAGCCTCATTTTTATTTCGCCCTCGTTCTTGGATACTACAGTACTGATGAAAGAAATCATCCTAATACTTGTCTTTCAAGGTGCTGATTGAGAGTTGTTCCTTTCTGTTAAGATGCACACTGCCTGCCATCTTCGTAAGATGCTCGCGGTAAGTGCCAGGATATGCATGTACCATAAACAGTGACTACTTGAAAGCAATGTACCGTTAACCCGAGTTGTTCTCACAAATCGGACAGTCCCAGTCAGACAGCCCCACCCAGCCCAGCCCAGCAATTGTGAAAAGTCTCACCTGCCTGGCTCTTCTTACTGAGAGTGGAAGGCCAGAGGCAGAAGTCAGAGGTGGCAGTGTCATCATCTGCAAAACGAGGGGGATGAGCTCTAAGTTCCCTTCCGGCTCTAACGTTCTATCACCGTGAACTCCAAGACAGAAGGAGAAGCAACAGCCTTGGGGGAGGTGGGGGGAGAGGGGTGGGATGGGCAGCGAAGTTCCCACCCCGCGTTAGTACCTTCCCGGAATCCACAGGCCCAGAAGCAGAGGGTAAAGAGCTGGTGAGCAGCCTCTAAGACCAGAAGCAAACACTTTCAAGATGACAAACCAAAACTAGCCCTGTCTGGGCAGTAACTCTCTGCTCTAGATAAATTCTTCCAGCCTCCACTGGCCTCTCCCTAGTGCTTCCCCGAGTACGAGATTCTGACACACTCCAGGGTAAAAAGGTAGAGTGGTGATTATGATCGGCTCACAAGCCCGCCCCGGGCTTCTCAGCGCCTTACACAGTACCCACACCGGACGGAGACCACAGCCTTTCCTGGCCAGCCCATCTAGGTGAACGGGAGTCGGCAGAGCTAACAGTTATGGGCAGGCCACTTCGGTACGCATGAGGGTCAAGGCTCAGCTCGCGAGAGAAAGCAGAATGATGTGAGCAATTTCAGAGGGAAAGAAGTCACACTTAAAATGCCAGCGTTCCCTCCCCCACCCCCCAGGAGCACAGAGCTCACACAGATAGACTTGTCAAGGTAAAAAATGCTTCTCCTAGTATAATATGCTTCTCGTAAGTACATATACTTAAAATATACTGTAGTCATAATTAAAATTCCATGTGGTTTCCCTTCTTTTGATGCAGAAGCCTCATTAAAACCCTTTATGTGGGACCCTGCCAGTAAACTCCAATATGGTTTTGAATTTATCTCTCCACCATCCCCCTCACCCCAACTTCTCTATTTTACCTGCTACATTTGGCTGATGTTTTTATTATCCGTCACCTGCCAGGCTCACTGTACCTTTTTGGTTTATAGATGCCAGCTAATGCAAACTGACATTCATTCTTGAATTCATGAGCTCTGGTTGTGGTTTATAGAAAACAATGCAACAAATTTCTGCTAGGTTTACAGAATTTTGACCAAGGGCTTCTAGTCATTTGAGATTGTCATGTCTTAAGGATTGCAAAGAGAGCTAATGTGGGCTTGAAAGGGATTTATATAATAATTTTTATAACTCACAAAAAATAAAATTTTCTGCAACTGGTTTAGTCATTTTTGTGTTACTAAGAAATGTTTCTGAAACATGCTGCAATGTGTTCTGCAGGAAAAAATTTTCACGGCTTGCTGCAGTATCACATGAGATCTCATATAATAATCGGTGATGGGGAGAAGGAAGGAATCCTAAACTGAAAGAAAAAAACCTCCCTAGTCTTCAGTTATTTATAATAATTATTACAGAAGCAAATGATGTATTAAATTTTCCTTCATTGAGTACATTTGTATCCGTATTCCTAATCTCTGTTTTGTACATGAACTTGGGTTTTCTTTCAGATCACCTCCTTGGGTTATTTTGACCCTATGTTTTAAACTATTCATACTTGGGTCACTAACCACATTACAGACAACTATAGAAGTGAAAAACCAAGACCTAGATATTGTAGCGACTAAAGTAAAGAAAATGTAACCTCTACTTATTAAAAGGATCAAGATGAAAGCCTGGAGAGTTCTAAAAGTGCTCCTACCCCAATCTAACTTTATAAATGCAAAACTCAGTAACTGCCTGGGCGATCTGCTTGGTAGCCTCAGAGCCGGTTTAAAACTCCCGGCTACAGCCCACAGATTAAATAAAGCCAGGGCCACCAGGAGTTACTTGAAGCCCAAGACAAACACGGTGCATCTTCCCAGTAGGCTGGTTCTACTCAATATGGAGACAAGGGTACGCCGTACAGTAAACATGGATATGACATGGAGGAGAATGCTAACACCGGGGTGAATTTCCAGACAAACAAAAAAAATGACTGTGACAGAATTTTGCATTCATGAAGTTTCAGAACACTTAGGTGAATTTTTAGACAAACAAATTAAAAAAAAATGACCTCAACAAAATTTTGCACTTGTGAAGCTTTAGACCACGCCCCCCACCCCGATCCCCTAAGGTACCCATTTACCCTCTGCTGGTTGGGGTACTCTGACGAAAAAAAATCCAAACCCCTCATTTACTATTTAGATAATCCTAATCTAACCTGCTGACAGAAAACTAAACTGAGAAGAGGAGGCATTTACTTTACAAAATCAAGCAGCCCCAGAGAGGCAGAGTCACAAGTCGGTAAGACTGCTGTGATTTCTGACCTCTCTGCAATCTTAGTTACCCCCAAGGAATTTGGCTGACACAGTCACACACACATATATGTGTATTTGTTGTCTTAAGTCTATTTGCCGAAATAAATTTGCCTATTTAAGTAGGCTCTTCTGGTGCCCACGTGTGCAGCCCCACTGAGAGCTACTGTCCTTGGGACACTATTTAAAAACTCTTTTCGAGTCTTGCTGGTCTAATCTGCTAATCAGTCAGCAATTAGTTCAGTTGATCATGGCATAATGTGAATGAGACCAAGGTCAAGGGCTTGATTCCCTTAGGACCTGCTGGTTCTCTCTGGATGCATTTCATTCCAGAACCGCTCCCTGCACCCCCAGCCACAGTCAGATAGCTTGCAAACGCGTGGAGCTGTGGTGAAAAAGAGCTGCAAGAACCTTGCCTATGGAAACAGAGCAGCAGCAGTTTTCCATAACCTAATACACCTGGGGAAGAATATTAATAAAATGCCCGTGAAGCTCAACTAAAAATAAAATCAATGTTAAAAATAAAAAATTTCTTGCCCCGCGGGAAAAGGGAAATGAAATAGCCTCGCTTTACCCAGCCAGATTTCTTGGGTCTTCAGAGCAAGTGGAAAGTGTGGTGGAAGGGGGCGAAACCGAGATAAGGGAGAACGAAAGAGACGCTCTGGTCTGTGACTGTCGTGGCCTGCAGTCCTCTAGCGCCTTCGCACCCGCTGTCTGATGCCAGTCTCTCGGGTCACACTTGACTCCTCACTAGAGTGAGCCGTGGAGGGCCGTGAGCTCTCTATCCATGACTGCCCTCCTCTTTGGGGCTTAATAACAAGGGTTCTTGACATCTCTCAGCCTTCACCTAGTACTTTAATATGCATCTTCTCACTTAGTGGCCCCTCAAGAAACACTAGTTGGTTGAAAATGGGCAAGGGGATCTTTAAAGGAGTTGGAAAAGAATGAGACTGAGCACTTGCCATTCGGGGCTGTCAGCTGGGAAACAGTGTACCTTGTTTCACCCCATCTCAGCAGAGGAATTTACACAGCCCAGCCAAGGAGGGCAGGTCGGGGCAGAGGAAAGGAAAGGGGGCCTTAGTTCAGGTGGAACGCAGGCTGGCAAAGGCAGAGTCCTTTGTCCTTTTTCAACACAAGGGCAAAAACGTAACTGAACCAAAAGCCATCACACTTCTCAGCAATGAGGCAGTAACTGCAAAGCTTCGCTGAGGCCTCTTCAATGGCAGGAGGTGTTGCTTCAACGCATCTCAGATACACCCAAGCACTTTGTATTACCCCCCCCATGGCCTCCTTTCCAATGGAAGACGTAATATGCGGGACCTCCGCAGAGCTGCTCTCCACTAAGAATCTTCTTCCCCTTTGACAACATTTTGGCTGCCCCTTTCCCAACCACTCTTACACGATTTCCTGTTTCACTCCTGTTCTAACAGCATTTATTTTCCGGATCGCTCTTTTCGGCCCCTCAGCTGCTACTTTCCTGAATTATTAGCTGTTTCTTGGCCTGTTCTCTCCAACTATAAAGTGAGCTTTGGATGGTAAAGGTCATGACTTATTTTCCTCTCATATCCCTCAGAACCTTCTACATCGTATGAGCCTAATTTTTTTTTAATGTTAAGTGTCTGGATGGATGGACAAGTACATGAACGAATAAGTAAATGTCCAGGGATCAGGAACTCTGCACAGTACCTGGCACATTTCTGACACTTTAAGAAAAAAGATACTATAATAAGCAGTAAGCAATGCTGACAGCAAACCTAAAACGTAACCCGAATACCACTCTGTACCTATAAAACCGGATAAAACTCTCTTTAAAAGGTGTTCAGAGCTCTTTCCAAGCATCACTACATCACTGGACCTCACAGTTCAGACAGAGGCCCACAAATGGCAGTTGCCACTGGTGAATGGATGCCTCTGTTTTGCCACCAATGTTGTTCCCAGTATCCTCAGAGCTGGTATCAGTGTGTTAAGCCTAAAACCGGGGGCCCACAGGGAGAAAGGAGGAAGGAGGAGGAGGGCCAGGCCAGACATGCACGGCCTGCAGGAAGGTGAGTTAGCACCCCTCTGCCCCTGGATCCCAGGGTAACCACTGCCACTAAGGCCTCATCACTTACTGGGAATGGGTAGTAAAGGTAACAGAGGATAAGACACATCCTGTCTGAATTCCTAGGCAGTATATAGAGACAGTATGTCTGTGACACCAAGAATTGTGGATTGGGGGAAGGCAGGTTGTGGAGGGACAAACTAGGAGCTCGAGATTTGCAGATACTAACTACTACATATAAAATAGATAAACAGCAAGGTCCTACTGTACAGCACAGGGAACTATATTCAATACCTTGTAATAACCTATAAAGAAAAATAATATGAAAAGGAATATATATGTATGTAAGTATAACTGAATCACTCTGCTGTATACTAGAAACTAACAACATTATAAACTGATTATAATTCAGTAATAATTTTTTAAATGTAAGTTTAAAAAGCTAAAGCTCTAAACGTTTTTAGAAACAATGAACAGTACATATATGTAAATTAAAAAATATATGTGCAGTAAATTAAAA